TTTACCACAGTGTCTACAATTTTTTTGACTTGAGCATTCCTTCACTTGATGACCCTTTCGAAGGCAATTGTAACATCGTCTGTCCTTTGCAAGAATTTGCTTTCGACCTTCGTAGGATTGTACAACATCACAGGAAGCAGAATAATGTAGATTATTGCAGAAAGCACAACGAATCTTGAAGTCCTCTTAATTGTGTCTTTGTGAAAAGTGCACTAGCTCCGAGTGGTGCCTGGGTTTTGTTATTATTGGAAAACTTACGATTGTCAACTGCACTTGCCCTGGCCCCTTCACTCGATTCTCTCGCTTCGATTTCAGTTTTAACAGCCGAGAAGTTCATCTATTTTCCATATTTCACTACTGTTCTTACGAGCGATTTGCAATCTTACGTCACTAGGAAGTTTAGACATAACAATAGGAATTAATAAGCTTCCATATTGCTCAGATTGTACCCCAAGTGAAGCCAAACCTCGCACGTTTACACTGATTTTATCGTATACATATCGTAGTGATGAAAGTCGACCATCTGTGCTCGCTTGAATTTTTAACATTTCGTCAACATGAGCTGAAATAATAATTTGTGGCTTGCCAAAACGTTCCTTTAACAATTCGATATCTGAGGTGTAGTTTGAACTTGAAAGTGTTAATCCTTGAATGGCCCTTGCAGCCGTACCCTCGAGATGAGCATTTAAATAGTTAAATTTATCGATTGCGGGTATACTTTCGTTCGAATGAATCGCGCTATTAAATGAGTCCCAAAAAGTTGTCCATTTCGTAACATCGCCCTTGAATTTCGGTAAAGTTAACTTTGGCAAACGCGGTTTAACGACTTTATCTTGTGCTGAATTCGTTTGAACATAAACGGGTGATTGTTGTACATTGCTAACGACTTGTTTTGAGTCTTTAATTTTGTTTCGAAACGCTATAATTCTCGCTACAATCGCTTCTGAATCTTCGATTTCTTTGCTAATTTCGTTTAATTTACACAGAGAAGTAATTTCGTTATCGAGATCGTTTAAAGTCTTTTGTTTACCTTCCAATAAACAGTCAATAACTTCGAGTCTACTTGTCACTTCGTCGGATAATTCTTGTGATAACAAATCGTATGTTTCCTTTTCGAGTTTCTGGCAAACTTCTCGATGAGCCGCCCTAATCGCTTTAAGTCGGTCGATTTTCGACATATTCTAAATCTCTACTTCGTGAGCTCGCCCCACGTTGGGCGCCATGTAGAAAACGGTGATTAATTTCGCTTTATTCGTCGTAAAAGTGTTTAAAAACACGCTCAAAAAACTACATATTTTTCCTTTATTTTATGTTCCAAAAAATATATATCGTTAACAAAACAAGAAAAACCGGTTTTATCTAATTATGTAAAATTACTGTAACGTAAACAAGTCTGCGACTACGTGAATGTCACGATTGTTACATATAGGTAAAATGCATATGCAAGCCCAAAGAGGTGAACTCTTTGAAATCACATGGGAATTAGTTAGAACTAATTTCAATATAACACCAAACGAGTAATTTGCTGGTAAAATTGATCACGCGTCATTCTAGTTTATAATAAATTTAGAGACCTGCTTCTAAGGACGAAAACGGACCTATATTCATTTATGCAATGTTCGTTCGTCAAAATCCAGGATCTGATTGGTTTTGTTAGTGAATATATGCTAATGCCACCAAAACCCACTTATAAAGCAATTTATGTATGTGGATTATTTGTCATGATTTCGATGAAAATCAAATTAGTGCTTGCCTCTGCAAATTTCATTGCCGGACCGGTATTATATAGTTGTACAGGAAGCGACTATACAAGTATCGAGCTGGAGTGTACTGTATAGTAAATATATGATAACATGAAACAGTATAGTGTTTTCCTCAGATTGTGTTTGCCAGCATTTTTGCTGTTTATGCATCCAACTGATGCACAATCTGTTATTATAGGTGGGTTTCACTAAGTGTTATACAATATGGGGAAACACAACTTTAGCCTGCACGCATGTATTGAAGAATTATACCTACATTAAATTGGGGGCTGACAAGTCGTATGAGCGACTACATGTATGTACGTAACGGTAAATCGCGTGTATTTGCAACCATAGAGAAAATAACCGAAACACAACTGCGTTTCTTTTTAGAGTTGTTTAAGTGCAGAAATCTCCTATTGACAGATATTTCAAGGCAAATTGTATTATTGCCAGCTAGTCTACAATTACAAATCGGTGTACTATTATTGTGACTTTGTCTTTGGCACTTTAAATATGTATGCAATGACATTGTATGTTGTTAGTATTACTACGTATATGCAATCCAATGGCAATTTTTTTTTTTCGCTATACGATCCATCGGGCTATAAGTTTCAAGTTTGAAAAACCTGCGTTAAACATGCATGTAGCGACATTACATTTATTCAAGATCCCGTTCAGTCACACTCAATAACAACCAAGTATTTTGTCTAAGCATGCAAATTCAAAAGCGGCAACCAGTAGGATTCAGCGATTTTGCTTATGCTTACGTATCGATAATGATATTAATGAGGCCATAAGTCCACCTTCGTCCCAGATGCAGGTCAACTAATGGGAATTCTTTGTATTATTGCTACGCAAGCGAATGGTCTGCCGATAACAGTCGTGTCTACCATTCGAATTTCGCAAATATCGGGAAATCATTTTCTTTAATTGATATCGGTAAAAAGATACTCATTTCATCGATTTGAAAGTCTAATTCAGTTTCGGTCAACCAAATTGCTATCCATCGTAAATCCTGACTGTACCATGGATAGTTAAGAGAGTTAAATGTCTTTTAGCTATCCATGGCTATCCGCACGCCACATTTTGACAACACGGCCCTGTTTATACCTCGCATTGTGTAGAGTCAAATTTATTTCTCCCGACAATCGACTTATAAATATATTGTTAATTAAGGCCGCGTTTACACTATGGCGCTACAGATAACAACTCCGTTAAAAATTTACTACGTTTCTAGTGTGAGACTGTATTGTGTTTACACTACAGGGTGTATCAAAATAAACGCAATTCACCTTTTGTGCTTAATAACTTTCGAAATACTATTTCTAGTTAAACGCTTTTAGGCTTACTTCAAAGCCTGTTCTTTTCTCTTTCAAACAAACTATTATCCTTGTCTCCAATGCTAGTAATAATTCCACAGGAAAAGATTTAGTAAAACCTATAATTTTTAGTTGCTGTTTAATTATGCAAGTTTACTATGTTATTGTTTAGTCGATTTAAATGTTAGAATTTTCTTCTTTAAACTTTAATGTTGTCGTCACTACCTCTGGAAAACCACGTAAGAACAAATTAAAAGTATTTTAAAAGAGACCAGGTTGTTTGAAAATCCTAAACGAATGCTAAAAATCGTCAAAACATTCTGGTGTCTGAGCCAGAGTGTCATTGAATTGCGATGTAATGTAAACAGAAATTATAGCAAGTTGATGTCAGTCAGCTTAGATGGTCCAAGCCAAAATTATATCGCATTTGAAGTTTCAAACTAAGTTAAAAATAGTGGAAGAAAAGCCGTAATTATACTTATTGTTACAATCCATTTAATAAAATGCAACATTTTTTTGTTTTAATGAAAAAAATCAGTTATTTTCATGAGAACGATTTGTTATTCCATCTCAATTTTTTTAATCTCCAATCGCAATAACGTAAAGTATTATTATCCGCGAACCAATGAGTCAAATTTAAGCCGAAACAACCCACTGTTAGAAAGCTGAATGGCTACGCTTTAAAATGAATGTAAACTTTAACGTTTTCGTCTATTATTTGTTTAGCAATTTACATTTCAGTCGAGGATTGCGCTTTTTTTGATACACCCTGTATAACGGAGTGGTTTGTCGTAGCGTACTAACTACGCGGATCACTACATTTTCCACTCTGAATACAAATCAATTTCGTTAAAGATTCACTGCGTTTCTCAATATTGTGTTTACACTATGACCGAGTGGTATGTTCGGCACTCCGGATGAAAATCACTACGCTATGGTATATTTGCCGTATGGTCATAGACTCGAAGTGTAAACGTGGCCTAAATCTGAGACAAGCTCGTATTATTACAATGTATGTTTACTATGATATTTTGATGGATGTTTTGTATATCTTTTCGGACAAAAATTGAATTTGACCCGACACCAGAGCGACGTATAAACAGGGCCTTTACATTTATTCCTATACAGTAATACTGAGTTAATGCGAAAACAAATTGTGCGTTTCCATGACGCATTGTGCGCTCATAGTTTAACGTTTAAGGTTTTTTGTTTTCGACGGACAACCTTTTTTGAATTAGCTGTATATCATGAATCAACTGAAAAGTCATTATTTGTCATCATTGGGCAACGCGTTAGCATTATATCAAATAAAGACTTGCACAAATGCTTATGGTATCATATAATGAATTTGTCGAAATTTCATGATATCATATAATGATTTTGTCGAAATGTCAAGCTATCATATGATGAGCTTTCGGAAATTCATTGTCAAATAGTGACAAAAACGAATAAGTCATGATTTGATATAATGTCTGTTCGTTTATCAATTATTTATATATAATGAGAGTTTGGTCATGCATGATATGACATAATTAGTGTTAAATCATTTTTTGACACATGGCGTTCCATACGCGAGAGAACGTTAACGTCTCTGACTCTGTGAATTGGATGAAGATTCCTTGTTCTGGTCACGTGGATTTCCACAGATTTGTGGAAAGTCCTCTGATTGGACAGTGCTTTATTTGAATAATATATGACAAATGAAGGTATTTCATTGGTTAATTGATAAATCGCATGCGTTTAAAATAGCGCAGCAGATTATATTTCAAGTCTTTCAAACCTCTGGCTTTGTATGCCCCGATTTGTGCTGAAGGGAGTGTTGACTCTTGAGGAAATCTCCAGAGGGAAATCTTTGAATTTAAAATTTTTGTGTTGTTATTTTTACCCATTTAGATGCATAGCTTCCCAATTGACGAGTAAAATCGTCTGGCGTTAGACATGTAAAATAATTAAATAAGTAGGGCGCACTGGGGCGCATTGCGGCTCAATGGTTGAAACGTATGCTAATTATGAATTAACCAATGAAATACCTTCATTTGCCATATATTATTCAAATAAAGCACTTTCCAATCAGAGGTCTTTCCATAAATCTGTGAAAAATTCAAGTGACCAGAACAAGGAATATTCATCCAACTCACAAACGTTCTCTCGCGCGCTTCGTTGAGAGTAACGTCTGTTTACAGGCTACCTTGGCCAGGATAAAGTGAGAAATGAGGATGGAATTGGAAAGAGTAGGCCTTTTATACAGATCATGCTGAAGTAAGATGTAAGGGAGGGGGTGGAGCAGAGGTGTAACTAATTAACACTTGCACGGGGCAAGTGTATATCATAACCTGCAAGTAAACATTTTATCCTGCTTACCCGATTGCCTTGCCACAAAATGCTTGGAATCTTCAAGTTTATCTTTTCATTGTCAGATAAACTTTTTATAGCGCATGTACTTGATTCAAATTTTGTTTTTTGTTGGCCAACACTAGATATGAGGCAGTATAACGTAGCCATATAGAGCAGTGGGAGAGCGGATGGACTTGTTGTTTCCTTAATTTATACCTCCTACCAAGGTATCCCAGTGGCCATTGCCTGATGGCAAGTGAATTTTGTTCAGGGCAACTAATTGTTGTATCCAACATGCCCTGAGGGCAAGTGGTCAAAAAAGTAAAGTTACACCACTGTATTAGGAATGAAATGAGGAGTGATGGTATTTCTGTGGGATACGATCGATATGAGACTCAAACAAAAATGTTATCTATCTCTGGTCATGAATGCTGATTCACTATATCTGCAATTGTATGGCTTGAATCTCTCAACAGTGCTGCAAGATAGACTTACCTTGTATATGTTTCAACACATATAACATCCCAGTTTATATGAATTTTAGACCATTTTAGAAAGTTTTTAGACCACAACTTTGCTGGCAGTGTACTAGCTAAGCATACTTTGACAATAATAACATATTTTGGAAGACTGATTGGTTACAATCTCTTCCTAGATTTACCAGTGATGCTAGTCGAAGTATTGATGGAGAAGCGTGTAGTTGAAAGGCTGTATGAACTGTCAAAGAATATGGTGCCAAACTGGTTCAATTCATTCTGATTCACCAAGCGCATTTGGTTCTTTAAAACAACCTCTGTACACGTGTTCTCTGCAAGACCCCCTCAGGGTTTACCTTTTGCAGGTGGGTATAAAGAGGAAATTAATTAAAGCTAATCAAACTGGTCTTCACCCTCAGACCCCAAGTGTTTCTTCAAGCCCTCAACCCCAACAAACCCAACCACAACTCTAAACCGAACTACAACTCCAAATCCGACCACAGCTCCGAACCCGACCACAACTGGAAACTCGACCACAACTCCAAACCTGACCACAATTCCTAAATATAAAACCTCATTTGGTATTATTACCACACCAGCTGATGAAACGCCAGAAAACAACACACAGTCCACACAGAATAGAAGCACACCTGATGCCCAACAAGAGGAAATAAAAAAAGAAATGCGAGTAAGTATTATTTTTAAACTCAAATATCATGTGCTTATAGTTCTGAAGTACATTCAGGGTTCCTCAATCAACCAAAACTGTCAAATTATATAGGTTTTAAATCAAGCACTTATAACTATTTCCAGGTCAGTTACTGTATGTTTGATTCAGGTCTTTTACTACTTTGGTCTAATTGTGAGCTATGTATCAAAGCTGATTGGATAATTTGTTAATCTGGCACTTGAGAATGTTTAACTCACTGAGCTGCAGTAAGTGCGACCTACTTATTTTTTTACTTGTCTAACGCCAGAAGATTTTACTCGTCAGTGGGGAAGTTCCAACCTCGTTCGCAGGGCTTTCGTGTGAGGAAGAGGGGAGAGACGAGAAAGCCCCTGGTCCGGGCCGGTCTATCTTGCATTCTGATTGGCTAACGCCATATTGTCTAAAAATAGAAGTACTTGACAGTTGACAATAACAAATTAACATATCAATTCAATCCGTAAATACCAATTCAACTACTGCATGTGTATTTTTATGATTGTTGTGTACGAGTATATTTTGCAAAATAATCTTTCAAGGTAAGAAGGTTTCAGTTTTGCCGACTGCATGATATACTTTTGCCTCGGCCAGTTGCAAAATTCAAAAGCCATGTCAACGTGAAGAAAGAGAGAGAAAAATCGATTAGAAAACATCGACGGTGTCTTCAGAGATTTCAACTGATTCGTGCCAAACTTCGCTGCACATAAATAATATCGATTGAGAAGTGCTTGCCTGTTTTTTCGTTTGGAGGACTTGTATATTTCAGTTAAGAATATCTCGCCACTCCTTGAGGAGTAGCTGTCAAATATATACATATTTTGGATAGTCACGTGACCGGTCCAGACCAGGGCTTTCTCGTGTTTCCCCACGTCTTCACACGAAAGCCCTGGGAACGACGTTGGGGAAGCTCTGCAGCTTAATGGGTTAACCAAAAAATCTGACAATGTTTCCAGTTAAACCCATTGAGCTGCAATGCGCCCAAAGTGCGCCATAAATGTTTTTTATTCTTGTCTAACGCCAGACGATTTTACTCGTCAGTGCGGAAGCTCTGCAGTTTAATGGGTTAATCTAATTCAAACGAACATGACTGGTATGGAAAGTGTTTATGTGTGCATTGGTGATATAGTTCATGAATGGATACAACTTTATGAGAAAATCTTGACTGTCAAGAACACATTTCACAATTCGTCATATAAAGGGCAAAATTACTCAAATATGACTGGCTTATAATGAGGACGGCATTTTTTGTTAATTCAGGGCAAAGTTACTTCTACCTGATTGGCTGAGATGCAAGCGTGGGAAGTTTCTTGTTTTAATAGCAATAAAAACAATAGCTTCTCGCTTTGTCGTCGCGGATAATGATGTTCTTGAAGAATTAAAAATTTTAACTTCTAATGAAAACTTAAAGTGCTTATGTCACAAAAATTTCTTTTTGATATTTGGTGGAGGACAAAAAGTTAGTTAATAGGTTCTTTAACATTTTTCGGTTTTCTCTTTTCATTCGCGAGATATGAGGCTCTAAACAGCGATTTTCGTAAAATTGTCGCGTATCAACAAGAGTCTGGGACGAGCGTGGTGTGACGTAGCTTAAGGGACTTAATTTCGACGCGCATTATACATTTGATATATTTTCCAGTATGTCAGGCAGTAGCTCGGATTCGGAAAGCACTCACAGTTGTCAATGTGACTCAGAATACAATTATATTATTCCTGGATATATTATAGAGGATGAATCAAATGATACCAGTCATGAAACAGGAGTTGTAGAAGCAGTTGATAGGGAAATTTTAGGCGATTATGATGCATGCCTTTATGCCGATGAACCGCTAGCCGGCGAAGAATGGAACGCACAATATCTAAAAAAATCAGCGGAACACAAGCAAGAAAACGAGATGCTGCAGCGAAGATTAGATGGCCTTGAAGATATATATATTAAATCATGGTGAGCAATAAACATAGATTTATTTTAACATTTTAAGGTATAAAATAAGTATCTCTGGCTGATCTATTTTTGATACCGCATCAGTCCACTTCCCTCACATGTATCTAATTTCACAGGTGTAATGTGGCCATTGTGTGATAACACATATACAAAATACACACGAAGCTTGGTGCTGTCAGGAGATGGAATCTTGGAGGGAAGTTCTGAAGGACAACTTGGTTTTAGAAGATGTGCCACAGCCGCCATGCTGTATCACCCTACACCCAGGATTCAGACCTATTTGTTTGGAAAAATGGGCTCTAAGAAACCTCGCAAGAAAATACAAGACACGCGATCAAAGAAGATATAAACAGACTGGTTCAGAGCAAACGTATGTATTCTTGTTTCAAGCTACAGTGTTTGTTTATTTGTAATCACGTTTATTTAATACGAACAATTGAACGAGCTCGTCTATTTCTTAGGTTTTTACGCAGTGTTGCTACAGAGAGTTTATCTTCATGGTAGCCTACATGGATACTTGGGTGATGAAAGGAGAGCCTTACCAGCATGTGCATATAATGCAATCAGATCAACATTCAATGATGAAAAGGAACAATTTAAAGGTTTTGACGACGAGACTGCTTAAAGATGCTGTAAAGTCCGTAATGACACTATAAATGTAAACAAACGCTTTGTTTACATTTTGATGTATACAGTACCGACTAAATATCGAACACTTTTCTGGTTCGCTATACTTGTAAATGAACATAAACTAGACGTTTCAAATCAAAAAAGTTCGAAAGATGTAAAATTTGGGAAATACTTATTTCCCCATTTGTTATGAGCAGAACTGATGCACAGAACGGACTTTACGCATCTTTAACATTTCATAAACTTACAACTATGAAATATCAAAATTCCAGCCCCGGGGAAATATGGAGCATTAGACTTTTGTATATACTAATACGAGAAAATGCTCCATTTATAGGAGGGGGGGGGGCAATTATTGCAAGCAAATGCCCCATGTTTCTCTAGGGTGGGTTGGACGATGGTTTCCAATGACAAGTACAAGACCTATTAATGTAATATATACACTTCCTTGTCATAAACAACCAAAGGGCATTTATTTAAAGTATTGTGAAATATTCATATATTAGGATTTTAAATGTTTTGAATTCTTCAATACTAAAAACATACACAAAGTTTTTAATCAAATTTTAACAAACAGAAATATTAAAATTATATACATACAGTTAGATTTATTTACATACAGTAGTTATACAGTAGAAATATTACTTCATATTTTTTGGACAGTCAAGAATGTTTTTGTGTCCTTTCATCGGGTTCTTGCAAACGGAACATTTGGGTTTAGACCTTGTTTGAGTCACTGCTGGAGTTGGTGGTTGAAGCTCTGTCACTGAAACAAGATAGTATTATTAACTAGTCATATACATGAACAAGATGTATTTGTCATGCAACGTAGATACAAATTTTCTTTGACCTATATTGAAAGAAATTCTTCTAGTCTAATAATCCGTAATTTACCTAGTAATGAAGGAGGGACATTAGTTTAACCTGCATCTGTCTTCTGTCCTCCCTTTTTTTTCAATGCTTCAGACTTGGGTTGTTTTTCCAACATAGTGTTCATTGGAGGTGGGGTCATAGTCTTTAACTCTTCTCGAGCATTATTCAAAGTCTTCGCTTTGATGCTGCCACAAATTGTGTCAAATATTTCATCCACATAATTTAAAATAAGAATCACAGTACTGTATACATGTAGGATAATTGGATTTCAATATCAAAAATTTGGTTTTACATGCTGCATTATCTTACCAAAAATTGGCTTGACCCTAACATCTCTGACAGTAGCCTCGCCATTTTTTAATTTGGGATACACCACATTTACTTGTGCAGTTCCATCTTTATTGGTTTTCGGCAGTCTTTGAAGGTTGCGATTGAAGTGGATTATGGCCAGGATGTGTCTAGTAAATTATAAATATACATGTATCTCTAAATATTAGCTATATACAAAACATTGAATTATTTAAATTATACTGCACCGACTCATGTTCCAAATTTTAGAGATATTGACATAATTGAATATTTTAGTACGGTAGTTCCTAGTTACTTTAGATTTTAAACATTTAGATTTTAAACTGACAAACCTAGTAGTAGAAATTATATATTGTAAATGTTTATTGTAATTTAGCTTGTGTATTTAGGCTGCAATGATGAATTGTAATAACATATTTATCTATCTGTACCAGTTACTTGTATTGAATGATGGGAATTCACTCACAACATTGCTTGGCAGTAGTTACGACTGTGGGAGAGTGAGTCAGATACAATTTGACCATTAGTGAAGTTACACGTTACCTGCAATATGTACATTCCAGGGATTGAGTAGTGGATCATCTGTGGGGAGAAGTGATTAAGCACAGAGTGAAATCCCTCCAGACAGCTGGTTTGGGATATCGGGGAAGCCTGCTTGATTGCGTTCACAAGCCGCGTCTTTGTAAGCTGATAGCATACTTTTTCATGAGCAACAGAGCCTGGAAGATAATAATGCCATACTTGTGTTTTTGTGAATTGGGGAGGTGCTTACATTGGGTTTAAAGAGGGAGGGTATTCTTTCATTGGAGATATTACAGTACTTAGGTGGCTAGCTTGGGCATCAGTAACCCATTAAGTTGCATTGTACTCCTGATGCGCCCTACTTTATTATTTTACTCTGTCTAATACCCAACGATTTCACTCGTCAAGCGGAGAGCGCTGATGCTTATAGACGGAAACATACCTTCAAATAGATACTCCCGGGGAGAAATATCTGGCCCATGAGCACATTTTGAAAACAGTGGGTCATCTAAACTGTCATGCTTGTTCACTATGTGGCTAAGGAAAGATTTGAACTTTGCCCAAATAACTGTTCCGTTGCCATCATGAGTGGAACAAGCACTCCAATAAAAATGATCGCCACAAGGCTTTATCCACTTTGTCACTCCTTTGCATCCACCTTCTTTTGACACTTTTGTCAGTACTTTTGTTATCTCTGAAAAAGAGTGTATATTTAGATATAGAGCTCATTTAGTCTGACCATTTAGTCAGTTCATTTAGCCCATGATATTTGTATACCATCTATTCATTTTCTTGGTACACCACTTACTCTTTTTCAGATGCCACAAATCAAAGTAATGTTTCAGATTAGCCAACTTTGTCTTCATGTGTTTGCTGATGGAACCATGTCTGTCAGAAACGAATGTTGACATCACAAGTTGACATCCCGACAAGAATCCCATACAGTTTTGGAATGCCAAATATTCCATTGCTGGGCCGCTACCGGCTTCATTTCGCTATATGTCGAATAAGGTGTGTTCAATATTGGGGAATAGAACATCACTACATAACCAACACATAGTTTTACTCACATATATACAAGAAATAGATTCATGCAACCAATACTATAATTAACGGGCTGGAAAGTATTGAGTTATATTTACAGTACTTTTCATTTACCTGTACTAGGGAAAAGTGAATAATGATGGATGTGGTGCAGCTGAATATTGTATATGCACAATATTTTGCACAATGTCCCATACTGTCATGCCGACCATCTCCTGCCAAAACCAAAGAGCCAGCTTCTTTAGCCTGGTTCACAAAGAAATGTATTTGTGCATTTCAGTGTTTTTAATGATACTTACTCGTTGATTTCTAAAATATGTAGACAATGAAATGCAAGCAAGTCCCATGTGCTTCATAACTTGCAAAATTTTCCTTGCTGATGATCCAGCTACCAAGATAGCAAAGGATAACAGGAAATTTCCTGCATAAATTTTTGACCCTGGCATTAGTTGCTGACTTTTCCAGACAAAGTCTTTCTTACACTTTGGGTTTTGGCAGCTGGCAGTTATTGTTACCATTGTTCCAACTTGTGACACTTTCAGTGAAGGCTCACTTTCATGGCGGCAAAAGAAGCAAGTCTTGAACAGTAACAGTAACTGTGTGAGGAACACAACAAACTTTGGCTGTTGGCGGATATTGTCTGTAATATCTTCTCTAGATAAAAGAAAAATTCCATATTAACTGATATTACTAAAGTTAATTGTAGGCTTGCATTGTGCTAACAATGCATATTTTATGGTGGTAAGCACCATATTCAATTCATACAGTATTATCTGTGCTGATGTATTCAGGTTTTAAGGGATCATTAGAATCAGTTGCAGCATTTGTCAACCTCTCATATCTCATCCCATAAGTGTGATAGGAGGGATAAATTCTGATTAAATCACAGACAAATCTACACAAAATATACCATACCTATTCACTGAATGAAATATTTCATCTTCTCCATCTTCACCAATATCATCATCACTGTCATCTGACAAATCCATGCTGTCATCTTCTTCCATCATGTATTCATCATCTGTGTCCATATCATTGTCGGATAACTGCATGACTTCATCATGTGGTTCTTGGCAAGGTTCCGGGCAGTTCTCATTGGTATCGTCTAAACACATGTAGAGGGCATGTGAGTTTAGCAGCATGTTATTTTGCTATTTTATCCAACCAATATTCCATCGATAACATGGGGTTATTTAGGTCCTAGGAATTTAAAGTTGGACTCAAGACAATTATAGTTTGGCATTATTAAATACCTTGATCAGTCTCTTGTGCAAATCTTTCTTTTTTCAATTTAAACATTGCCGTCTTCAAACTGCTCCTCAGCCTTTTGTTTTTTGTGGATAGACATTTGCATCCTACACATTCCTCTGTCTGGGTTTCACTGTCAACAAACTTCTGAAAGTATAATTGTAATTTATTAATCATATTGCATATCTTAATACAGTAATAGGACTTGGATTCTTGGTTAGCAAGTACTAGAATGATTTATAGTTTACACTTTATAAACAAAGCCTTTAATACCTGGTCGAACGAAAGGGATGTCACATCCCTAGGATCATCGACATGCATACTGGTCGTTTCAATAGCATCAGATGACATCTCATCTTCATCCTCGAGTTTTATATCTTCATACGACGAAGATGCTTCAGCCAGAATCATTTTGACTTTCCTTCTTCCCTAACCAATAAAAGAGACGCAAACTTATAAATTATTAAATACAATAATACATGTAAGACAAATGAATGCCGACACAATGCACGCGAATGACGCGATCAAAATATTTATCAAATGACAAATATAAACAAATATATATATATATATAAACATACCTGACGCTTGTCACGAGGGGAGACTTCGTCTGCAAGATTGCTTCTTGTGAATTTGCTTGGATAGACAACTACACCTGTTTCATCCTTCTTTAACCGAGGCATGGATTTGGTTTAAATTAGCACCTATAAGTTTACTTCAAAAAGCTCCCTGCCAATTGCAGAAGTATCTTGATACATTCATGTTAGTCTACTTTTGCAAGAGGATTCCTTGATCAACCAAACCAAACGCTTTACGGAAGTCGAGAAATAGCTTCGCGTGAATTATCTGTTACATTGAATCAGTTTTGTGCAATGCCCACCAGAGCATACACTGTAGATTGATTTTGGTGAAAGCGTGTTTGTTACCCTTAATCGAAGTGATTAGAAGCGAACTTTCTCTAAGCCTCATTTAAATGTAATAATTTTTCTCTTTTTAGTAATGACCAGAAGGCTTTTTTTATAACACACTCTAAGAGCGTATAAATGTAACCTGATGATGGAGTAAACTCCGAAACGTTGTTACAATTTATTAAATTTGTTATAAAAAAGTCTTCTGGTCGTTACTAAAAAGAACAAATTACCCTTAATCCTTAGGTTCGCGCCGTTGAATGAGATAAAGTTGGAAATTTTACCCGGATTTTGTTATCTGTGGGAGAATTGAAATTTGTCGGAAGTCGTTTTCTACATCATTAGGTGAATTCACTTTTGGAACTGGACAGACTTGTTTATATTTGGTCAGATTAAAGCGTGTTTTCACTAGGTTTATATTGCGTAATGCAAGCACAGATTATACCATGCACAACTAATGCATGTTCATGTTTCACTAAAGACGGAGAGGTCTCATTTGAATCTTTGGCAGTCTGGTTTTTAACAAAGGTCTGGCCTCCATTAATAGATGCCCAATTTCGCCGACATCTTGACCTCTAGTTGGAACAACCTCATTCCAAGAAAAATTTCATTGGAGACGTTCAGCTAGTAGTGTTGCATGCAGACGGTCGGAGGGATTTGTTGCGCCTCGTGTATCAATTTGTACCATTTCGCTGGGTTTGATTTGTGAAATATCTACCTTACGCTGGAGTATATAGCTTGTCTCAGCATTTGATACAAGCGTTTTGACTTTAACGCAATGTTGCTAAATACTTCGCTATACTACCTTTTACGAAAGCCTTTGGTCGAGCTTTAATTTCCTGTATCTGTATCACGGTTTATGCCATTTTATCTAACATGTGTACGATGGTGGTAGTTAACTTTCTCACTTTATCGCCAACGACATTGGCATTATAGACCGGCCTCCAGTTCTCCTTATTTAATAGCTTAGATTAAGGTTGTTATTTATAGCACAAACCTTGGACAAACGAACTGAAACTGACTTTCAAATGAATGTAAACGAACCCTATTCTATTATTGCCAAGCCCGCATAGATTTTCGGAATATTTGAACAAACTATACACATGTGACGGCAATTTGAAATCATGTCATTGCAAACCTAGCCCAATTAAGTTAATGTCTTTCATTTGCCGTAGTTTCTTTGAGATCGGGTTGGTTTTCTCATTGTAGAATAATTTGTAACACTATATTATTGATATAGTGTTACAAATTTAGTCGATTGACGTAAGAAATGGATCATATGTCATGATTAATATACTTGGAATTGATTGTCAGACTGAACGTACGAAAGAAAACCAGAAGGATTGTTATGTCATATATTTTATCGTTTGAATAGTTTAAATAAATATGTTTTAAAGTACGCGTGTGTTCTATTTCTGACGGTATTGTTCTGATAGTATACAGTCCCCACGAAGCGCAACTGTCTTGCGGTGTAAGACAGAAAAGTGCAACACTCGTTTGCTTTAAGAACAATTAACAGGCATTGATGATCGGAGAGAGCGAATCGTGGGAAATGTCGTATACATACATCGTTGTAAAGCTCTGACATATACTGGTTAAAATTTTGTCCAGAACGTTACGACGCCTTGCGGGGGCCGGGAGAACCATTTTAAGATAAACGTCTCCACAATGTGTTCAATTTCATTTGATTAAAGTCGCCGGCAATTATGCTAGTTGATGTTGGATCACGCTGAACTGAATCAAGCCCTCTTGTAAGGTATTCACACATCTCTTTTTAGAGCGCCTACAGCAGACAGTCCTGGCGGGTAATGTTCTCCAGTTATTGCGGTGGAGGCCAAAAGTCTTGAAATGCTCGTGGGTTTAAGTCGTAGTAGCCATAAAAGCTCTTTTCCATTTTGCTCTAAGTTTAAAAGCCAGGTACATATATGGTATTTTCTATTGACATAGACTAAGACTAAGACACCAGGTGTGGGTCGATCGTGACGATGTACGCCGTTAATTAAAACTGTTACCAATTGCAACAGCGGAGAGTGGTATATTTGAATTTAGCCATATTATTAACAAGAACGATGCCGCACAACTCAGCTATTTTGTTTGTTATATGGCAGCATTAGTAAGCATTGCAGAAGGGCAGGCTTGTCGATAGAAATTCTATGAATCTTAATAAACAGGGTTGGAACCACTGGCGGGTGTGGGGTTCAATTCATGAAAAGGGTGCCCAATTTTCCCAGAGGGGGTCCTGGAATGCTGTAGTTTGAGGAACATATTAAATATTAAGGAATATTCTGAAAAATTGGGGTCGAAAAATGTCTGAAAAGTATTTCTAACCGGCCCTCTATAATCGCTAAATATCTTTTGAAAAAATTCTTGCATGGGACGATTTATTTTTGCAAAAAGCCGTCGGTAATTATTTTTAAGTGGGGCCCCGAAAAGATAGTCTCCCTCGCAGACGTTCTTACAGCTCAAACCCTCACTAACTAACGTCTGCTGAAACGAGCTGGACATTCCATTCCCTCCTATCGACGAATCACAGCGAACCTTCTATATTTCGGAAAGTGATTTACGGGCGGAATAAATAGTACATAAATATTTTTATATTTTGAGAGCAGTCGTCGTTTGAATTTTGGTCAAAATTGCACATAAGTTGAATTTAAAGACATTGATACTTGTCGAGGGAATAAAATGCGCCATTAATTATCAGATTCGGATATTTTCGGTATATTTAAATCGTGGACAGGATGGCATACTCGAGGGCAGACTGTATCAATCTAGTGGCGACAGAATCAAATGCAGAATATATTTCGCTGAAATTTGAACTTTTGACAGATATAGCTATATCTTTAAGACAACAGAACTCAGAAGACAGAAAATTTTATATAATCCTGTGGCTTAGAAAGCGAAATATTAGCTTCAAAGTAAACTAATTTGCTGTTTGAGCAACGACTTCTGACTTTTGAATGTAAACACAACACAAATAAAATCCGAGATTCGAGAAACTTTTAATTGCGCCGATATGAATTTCCAGTTCGCCCAAACTTCGAAACGTTTATACATGTTACTTCGCTATACTTTTCTACATGCAACGAGAGCTTAATCTTTTAGCATTTTTCGTCGAAGCCATGGCATACCGGAAGAATTTAATAGCAACATTTGGACCTATCCTGATCTACTCGTTCTCGAGTTTCCCGATTGCTTGTTTGTCATTGTTTACAAAATTTAAAATTTCGCCTGTTGCATAGCTTTTGCATTTTATATACCCGGTTGTTTGCAGAACAAGCGAGAAGATGATCACAATATTATTCTACGTAATCATCGTGAAGTTCAAGGCTATTGTTTCCAAAATATCTCCACGCAAGTAAACACATTTCAACCCAAACAATATATTCCCATCTGCAAGAGCATTCCCCAGTAGTTAAACCCTCAATAAGGCGGCTTCCAATTGGCTCTAACTCTTTTGAACACTGCCAGATGATTGGCTCCTAAAACAAAAGGAATGGAATGTGCAGCTCGTTTCAGCAGACGTTAGTTAGCGAGAGTTAGAGCTATAAGGACGTCTGCGAAGGAGACTACCGAAAAGAAGGAGCCGAAATGTTTTAGTTCGCCTTTCCCCATCCCCAACCATATATCGCTCGGCACTTCCCTGTTAATAAAGGTGCAGGTGCTAGGGTTATGATGCTTAATATTACTGTTGTGTTTTCAGATTCGGTTGTTCTAACTTGGACGTAGTTATCATTATAATTATCTGGCAGTAGAAGTGTGTTTTTAACCGTGACTGCGGATGACGAAATAGAATTATTATAATCATTCAAAAGCAGCAGCCTATTTGCAAATTCTTCGTGTTATCCAGCTTATCAATTATAGGTGTTTGCTCCAATAAGGACGACGGTATTTTGTGTGGTTCTTTCAACAATTCGCTATGTTATGCGGCTAGGAGAGTGTATGGCAGTCTAAACACATAGGGTTGCCAGGTGTTGCTTGCTTTCCTTGTCTGTAAGTAATCCTCAGTGTCCACTAAATTAATAATGTTTATAAATTTCCAGTGGCTCCTAGGCATACTAATGGACTTTGACATTGAGCAAAGAGGTCAAAAATGTAATGTTATCACAGATAGATTTTTTTAAGGCGGGATCTTCATCAAATTGGTTATCAAATATGGGAGTTTTAACCAAAATATGGTATATCATGCATCTTTTGAGGTCAAACTGGAGGTTAGAATTATTAATACGACCAAATCGTAGCAAACGGTATTTCTGGGGTCTGTGTTTTCTAACTAGGCCCATTAATTAAAGAGTACGTATAGCATAGATATTAACACGGTTCCAGAAAATGGACATTCAATATCGATATCGAATAAATGAAACAAACTATTGATATCGAACAAATGAACACAAATGGAAACGAACTAAAGGAAAACGTATATATATACCAAGTTGAACTGAAAGCCTTTGGCGAAAGGATATAGGCTATATTACATGCACTGGGCATTTTGGGGGCATATGTATATACGCAGTTATTAGTGAGATATACAGTATCAAACCGAAGCGCCTAATTTCGCAGGAACTATTGCCTGACGGGTCAAGGAATTCCTGCATGGGCATATACAATTCGGGCAGCATCAAATTATTTTTGCCAACAAAGAATGATTAGCTCTTTTTCAGAGCCGTCACCAGGGAAAGATGACGCAATGTATATTCATGAGAAGAAACGCAACTCTGCGTTGTCAACACAAAGTTTACTCGAGCGGGATTTTTTTTAATTGACCTATCGACTGGGAC